GTAAACTCCCTTTTTTTTGTGCCTTTGTTTTTTTTTTGGCCCCCCCCCCCCCCCCACTTTCTACAGGTTTGAACATCCGGCAGGCTCAGGTTATTGTGCTGACCTCGGGTACTAAATGTATAAATGGAGAGTACATTAACGACCAAGGACTGGTGGTCAACGATTGCCACGCGGAGATTGTGGCGCGGAGGGCCTTCCTCCACTTCCTTTATTCGCAGCTGGAACTGCACCTGAGGTAAGCTGGGTTTAGAAGAAGCAGCAGCGTAGTGGGGTGTAGTGGTTAGAGTGCCGGATCTGGGAGGCCCAAGTTCTAATCCCCACTCTGCCATGGAAGCTTCCTGGGTGACTTTGGGCCAGTCGTGTGCTCTTGGCCTAACCTACCTCACTGAGTTGTGGTGAGGATAAAACGGAGACAGGGAGAGTGTTCTGAGCGACTTCGGTCCCCAATGGGGAGCCAAGTGGGATATAAATGAAGTAAATAAAGCAAATAAATAAACAGAGGTTTCCAGTAGAAAAGAGCAAGAGTCCAGGAGCACCTTAAAGTAGGGTTGCCAAGTGACTCACCAAAAAAAGCGGAAGAGAGTTCATCCCATTCCGGGACATTTGTACGCGCCGCAATGACGTCGCCCAGAAGTGACGTCATCACACTGGGCACATCACGGGCGATGCTCTAGCAACCGGACTGAAAACTCTATGGGTTAGGGTTATTAGGGTTAGGGTTGTTAGGGTTGCGGTTATTAGGGTTAGCGTTATTAGGGTTAGGGTTATTAGGATTAGGGTTGGGGTTATTAGGGTTGGGTTGGGGTTAGGGTTAGGATCAGTGTTCCCTCTAAGCTGAGTTAGTCTGAGCTAGCTCACAGTTTTTTAGCCTCCGGCTCACACATTTTTGTCTTCGCTCAGGAAGGATGGCTCCAGAGCAGACTAATGTATGCAGTAGCCAAATCGCTCGCTCACAACTTTAATGCCGGTAGCTCACAAAGTAGAATTTTTGCTCACAAGACTCCACAGCTTAGAGGGAACATTGGTTAGGATCATTAGGTCATTAGGGTTAGGATTAGGGTTATTAGGGTTATGGTTATGGTTATGGTTATTAGAGTTAGGGTTTGGTTTATTAGGGTTAGGGTTTGGTTTATTAGGGTTAGGATTAAGGTTAGGGTTATCAGGGTTAGGATTAGTCTTAATTCAGGTTCGGGTTTTTAGGGTTAGAGTTAGGGTTAGTGTTATTAGAGTAAGGGTTGGGTTTTTAGGGTTAGTGTTATTAGGATTAGGGTTATTAGGGTTAGAGTTAGGGTTAGAGTTATTAGGGCTATGGTTATTTCGGGTAGAATTAGGGATATTAGGGTTATTACCATTAGGGTTATTGGGGTTATTAGAGTTAGGCTTTAGGAGTTAGTGTTTGGGTTGGGGTTTTTAGGGTTAGGGTTATTAGTGTTAGGGTAAGGTTGCCCATAGAGTTTCCAGCGATTCCTAGAGCCATCCTGTGTCACTTCCAGGTTTTTACTGGAGGTGATGTAGCACCACATGTGATGTTACCATTTTTTCCCCCTAGGTGGTGTCCTGCATTCCTCATGGCTGGCCCCAAGTTATGCAGGCCAGGTCTAGGACTATGTTGAAAGGCTGTGTCAGGGGCAGCTAGGCAGTAGATTCTGAACACTAGTTTGGATAAGCGAGCTTTTGTTTATGAAAGTTGCAATGTAGTTGTTTTTCTGACCCACTTATCACAAAGTTTGGGAGTGACTTGCAGCATAAGAAGTTTACAAACAGAATCAGATTTTGTTTGTGTGAGTCTGTTTTCCTTCAGCACCTCTTAGGTCTTAACCTTAAAATCATGTTTTATGGAGCCTCTTGGTTGTTTTTACCAGTGCTCTAAACACAGGCCTGATAATAGCAGTAAATGGCCAGAGAATGAAAGGCTAGATATCTTCACATTAGAGGCGTTTTCCTTGCTTGTGGGTGCTGAGTCATACAGGAGAGGTTATTTACGATAAGCATGCTCTCTTGTATTGTGGTGGTTACTGATACTTTGTTTGGATCATAAAAGAGCTACCCACTGGCACGTGAAGCAGGCAGGAGCCCTGGAATCCCTGTCAGTCATAAACGCTCCCCTTTCTAACAGCACCATAGGAAGCAGTGGAAGAATTAGCTTGACCTACATGTAGGGATGCCAGCCTCCAGGTGAGACCTGTGGATCCCCCAGAATTACAGCTCATCTCCAGACTACAGAGATCAGTTCCTAGGGTTGCCAGTCCCCAGTTGGGGGATCCCCAGTTTGGAGCCCCTCCACTTGCTTCAAGGTTATCAGAAACCTGGGGGGCGATCACCCCCAAACAGGCAAGAAACCAAAAATAGATGTGATGTGCCTATATCACCCGATAGTGACATTAGCAGGTCAGTGATGTTGGGGGGGGTAACGCTCTGGTTTCTGGGCAAAACTCTGTGGTAAAAAGCTTATTCTGCCATAGATGTTTTGCCCACAAACCAGAGCGTTGCCCCCCACATGCCTACATCACTTCTGAGGGACATAGGCACATCACCCCCCATGCCCCCAACATGCCTACGTCATCACATTTATTTCCAGCTTCTTCCCTCCCCGCTCCCGGTAAGCTCCTGCTAAGCACCCCCACCTGCTCATCCGACAGACCTGGCAACCCTATCAGTTCCCCTGGATAAAATGGATGCTTTGGAGGGTAGACTCTGCAGTATTGTACCCCACTGAGGTCCCTGTTCCCTCAAGTTCCAGGAATTTCCCAACCTGGGTCTGGCAACTCTCACTTTCCCCACTGGTGGCCAGGGGGGACCTGGCCATCCTACCTAGATGTCCGTGGTTGGCAGTATCTTTATCTGGCCTTTCCCAACTACTTAGCTTTCAGGTGAGTCATTAATTAACAAATTTTTCCGTGCAGCGTTGTATAAAAACAGCATGATTATGTGCGTTTTTAATTTGTTAGCCACCTCGGTGGCCCTTATGAGGGCAGAAAGGCAGGGTATAAATTTTGTAAAGTAAATAAAAATAAACTTAAAAGGAGGAGAGAGAATACGAGAACCCTAGAGGGATTGGCCGTAACTGATATTCTCTCTCTTTATAGTCTCTGATTCTTTCATGTTAGGTTTACATTAAATTATTATGTTTTTCTCCATGTAGCCATCCCAGTGCTTGCTTTGTGCTGAGAATGGCATCAGTTCCTCTAGGGACAGGAGTGCAATCAGTGTATCTTAAGCTCCGTATTGATCCATCTTCATAGTACATTCAGTTATGTTATTATGTTATTTGGATCAATGCTACGTTTTTGTGTGTAAAGGGAATTTTCAGAGCAAAACAAAACTGTGTTCCCAACAACTTCTGCAGATCTCTCTCTCTCACTCTCTCTCTCTCTCTCTCTCTCTCTCACACACACACACACACACACGCATGCACATTGTCTGTCCTTTGTGCCTTTTGAAAGGAGAGTTGGAAACTACTGCACAGCTACTTCTGTTCCCTTTTACATTGCCTAATCATGTTGAAATCTTTCTTGTTCACATATCGGGTCGATTGGTCTGTACAGTGGCCAGCTCCAGGCCAGGAACTTCCTGGAGATTTGGGGGCTGAGCCTAGGGAGGGCAGGGTATAATGCCCTAGACTCTACCCCCCGTTTTCTCCAGAGAAACTCCTGTTGTCTGCAGATCTGCTGTAATTCCAGGAGGTCTCCAGGCCCAAACTGGAAGTTGGCAACCTGACTGGCTACCCTGGGTTCCACTTAAAAGCAGTTCTCAAAGTTAAACTGGACAGACTTTATGCACTCCTAGCAAAAGGATGTTGGAAGTGAATTAGCTCCCTGACCCATGTCTAATTTCCTTCTCCTTTCTCCTGTCTCAGAATCAGATAGTAGATGTTTATATCCGTTTTCTCATCAGTGAGGCCCAAAGCGGCTGACAACATCATTTTATCCTCTCAACAACAACCCAGTGGAGTAGGTTAGGCTGAGAGTGACTGGCCCAAACTCATCCAGTGAACTTCCATGGCAGAGTGAGGATCTGAACCCGGGTCTCCCAGATCCTGTTGTGATCCATGTTAGCTCTCCGGGTTTCAGTGGTAATCTGCTCAGAAGAGCTTCTCATAGAAGATTGCAGTGGCTAATTTCAGGCAAAATGCCCTCTTGTTGGGGTAGACTTGTAAACTTTAGCTAGCAATGGAATGAGCGAGGAAGGGGTGGAACCTTTAGATGCAGAAGGGTGCAGAATGTGTGGAATGCAAGACTGCCCTGCTGGGGAGCTTGACCCTTAATCATAGGCTCTTAACACCTTGTTTAAGGCAATTATGATTTGTGTATGGAAACTGTTAAGAGAGGGAGACTTTTGTTCTAAGTTGTAAATTTTAGAATTGTTTCAGGGCTGTGTTATCTAAGGGGCAATTCATTTGGGACCCTCATATTTGAAGCCAGTACACACTGACTACAGAATTAGCCACTGAGATCTTTATCGAGTAGTTCTTTAGACATTGCGTGGTTTACACCAGAACACGATGTGTGTCGTAGGGATGCCAGTCCCCAACTGGGGGCGGGGGATCCCCTAATTTCATGGGCAGAAGCCCCTCCCCCAGCAGCAACCAACAGTGGCTGCCCCTCTTTCTCCCTTCCTGTAAGATTTAAAGGGCCCTCCAGCTGATCGACAGGAGGGGAGGGAGAAGGGTGGCCGCCAGCCACACACCTGAACTTGCTTGTTGCCGAAAGCATTTAAACAAGCGGGGGGCTGAACTCCAAGCAATGAATTTGTCGCTTGGGATGCAGGTGCACGGAGCACCAGTCCCCAGTGGGATGATGTCACTTCTGCAGGATGTCATCACATTGGGGACATCCCTGCCCCCTCCAGAAATGCTCCCCAAAGTCCCCCGCTGGGGACTAGGAAGGACCTGGCAACTCTACGTGTGTGTGAGAGAATGTTTGTTTTGTGCAAGTGCACAGCTCCCCCATATCATTCTGCACTGGCAGCCAGCGCCGTTCCCTATCCCACGCATGTGCACAACCGCGCTACTGCCGGTTTGCTGCACAACGCGTGATCGGCTGCCGGAGCACGGAGCCACGGGGGCACATCGGATCACGCTCCCGTGGTTCTTTTGGCTCCAGCTCGATAATTTGCCTCCCTTCGGCAGCGGATCCTCCCGTTCGTGTGACCGGGACCTCTATAGCACTATGCCCGACTGAAGCCCCTCCCTTCCTCAAACCTTGCCTTCCTCAGGCTCCACCCCCAAAATCTCCA